CTGCATCTGTCTTCTGCAAAAGTAGTATTACAGAGCAGTCTTGATAGGTCACTGTTTTGAGCATAAGGGAAAAAAATGCAGCTTTTTATAAATATTTAGAGAACTGTCCTGTTTGAATTGTTTGTACACTTTTGACTTACAGAAATCCCTGTTCAAGCTGAGGATTATTCAAATGATGATCTAGTGGGTAAGTTAATCTTAAGTGCTTGTTTTTTTCCCCAAAAAGTGAAGCTATAGCTACATGGAAGGTTTGTAAACGAATTACTTTGTGGAGAGGAGTGAAAGGATATCATTATTGTCATTTAAAGTTGCTTCCTGTTTTTGAAGCAATAGTTTTTATCTTGTACTGGATAAATGCTAGTAATAGTTACTGGGTTATATGGAAGCATTCCAAATAAAACTGTGAGTGGTTTTAATTTACAGCTTAATTTTTAATGATTTCAGACAGAGCTGGATACTTTTGTTGTAAAGGGAAATATAAAAATTTCTGGTCTCAAAATATGTGCATACTTCCTTTCTAGTGTAACTGATCACGTGTGGTGATACTGTCACTTCTCTGTCTATCAGTCAGATCTATTGGAAGTCCAACTGCGGCATGTTCTTCGGCCACTGATCTGGAAACAGGATTGTTCTGTCATGCCATCACATTTTTCTTGACATAACTGATTTTAACAACAGCAGTTCCAGCTCTTCCATCTGTTTTCTGACAGTAGTAAACACAGAGTTTACCCAAACCATTTCTAGAGTAGCTAAATGGCTTCTGAATTCAAAGACTGCATATTGTTACATTTCATCTGCTTTTTGGAGTTAATTATTACAAGTTGCTAGTTTGTTCTTTGTAATGAGGTAGTTGTGTTGAATGAAACACTGAGATGTTATCTCTGGGCAGTAAATCACAACAGCTGCAATCCAGGACCCTTGAGAGCTGTATTTCTGTTTTGTTCTGATTAGCCTGAGTACCTTTCTGGGTTAGTTAATCTTTGCAATATGCAGAAGCTCTTAAGTGGTGTGGTGCCCTGGTGGTTCTGTCGGGTTTTGTTTTTCCTTCCGGGAAAGGAAACTTTGTATTTGGTTCTTGGGCATGCCAAAAGTAGCCAGAGAAGTAAAAAAACATAGGAGGCCTTTGTGGTTGCCCAGTACAGACTGGAGGCATGGTTTAGTTCATGTTTTAATTTAAGTGCTGAACCTTAACTGAGGTGATTCGAAATGCTCATATCAATACATAACTGTGTTGTCTGTGAGGTCTTTCTAACCTGTTTATCGTAACAGCCACATGGCGTCTTGAAATGTTTGAAGCCATAGGTGTCCATTAATAGATGCCTTATCTAAAAATGTTTCATAATGAATATGAAATATTTTTAACCACAGCTTATAGTCAGTGTAGGAACAAGCAGTAGTTACCTTTTGACAGCATAGGCAAGAAGTTCAGCAAAGGTAGTGTTCAGTTGGTTTGTTTCTTTAGGTTGGAACTGTAGAACAAGAAAAGATGTTTTCTCTCAGAAAATGTTGTTCCTTAAAGTTAAAATAACAAAAAGGCCCTTACAGGACTATTACAAAATTTCAACAGTAGATAATTCCACTGCACAGTGTCAGTTGTATTGATATGAGGATATTGAGATGACTTCTTGACTACATACACTATTTTAAAACTAAATTCAGAATTCAAGTATCAACTTGAAATCTTTAATTTTTGTTTTCATGGACCATATTTCTATGGCTTTTTGTGTTCTAATTTATGGCTCAGCCTTGCAGCAGTAAATGAATTTCCTACCTTCACCAAAAAAAAAAAAATCTTATTTGTATTGTACAGTAGTGAATGGTTTCCAGATACTCCATTTAGAATCATAGAGTCATTTAGGTTGGAAAAGACCCTTAAGATCATTGAGTCCAACCATTAACCTAACACTGCCAAGTCCACCACTAAACCGTGTCCCTAAGTGCCATGTCTACATGTCTTTTAAATACCTCCAGGGATGGTGACTCAACCACTTCCCTGAGCGGCTGTCGTTGTTTAACCTCAGTTGGCAACTGAGCACCACACAGCTACTTGCTCAGCGCCCCCCCAACCCCAGTGGGATGGGGGAGAGAATTGGAAGAGAAGTGAGAAAATTCATGGGTTGGGATAAAAACAGTTTAATAATTGAAATAGATTATAATAATAATAATATACAAAGCAAGTGATGCACAGCACAATTGCTCACCACCTGCTGACCGATGCCCAGCCAGTCCCTGAGCAGTGGCCCCCCCGGCCAACTTCTCCCAGTTTATGTACTGAGCATGACATCACATGGTATGGAATGTCCCTTTGGCCAGTTTGGGTCAGCTGTCCTGGCTGTGCCCCCTCCCAGCTTCTTGTGCACCTCCAGCCTTCTCAGTCGGTAGAGCATGGGAAGCTGAAAAGTCCTTGACTAGTGTAAGCACTGCTTAGCAACAACTAACACATCTGTGTGTTATCAACATTGTTCTCATCCTAAATCCAAAACACAGCACTGTGCCAGCTACATCGAGGCTAAACAACCCCAGTTCCCTCAGCCGCTCCTCCTAAGACTTGTGCTCTAGACCCTTCACCAGCCTCGTTGCTCTTCTTATTGAGGTGCAGTGGCCCGTCCAGTCTTTCTTGTAGTGAGGGGCCCAAAACTGAACACAGTATTTGAGGTGCGGCCTCACCAGTGCTGAGTACAAAGGGACAATCACTCCTTTAATTGCAGGTGGATTTTCAGATAAGATGGTGGAATTGAACCTAGTTGTCCACTCTCCTTTTATTGTATTGTGATACAAAGAGAGTCCTTGCTGTTTTCAAACACTGTTAGAATCAAAAATAACTTGTTTTACTCTGAAATAGTATGTATTTCTGATCCTTTCGAAAGATTTATTTTTTTTTAATTTACTTTTTTTACCTTCAGTTGTTTTCAAAACTGGTGCAACACACTTTTTAAACCATGAGATTAGCCTTCAAGGGAAAGTTAGCTCTAGTCTGGTATATCTTGTGGAAATAGATAATAATAGCAGCACTGGAAGGAGCGAATATTTTCTTTTTCCCCTCACAGGAAAAAAGTGAGAGAATCAATCAAAACCTATTTATTCAGTTATTAAACACACAAGTAACTATTAGATGTAGTACCATGTATGTGATTCTTCCTTTAGGAAGTAGAAAATGAAAATAATTTGATCAGCATAAAATGTGCAACAGTGTACAAACATACTCAAGAATCTTTAGTAATTTGTGTAATTATGTGGGAACCACTTTGAAGACAGAAGAATCATTGTTTATCAGTTTTTGTAAAAAGCTTATTGTGTCAGCACATAAAGTAGAATTTAAATAGCATCTCTGAAAATTGAGAAAAGAAACAAGGGACATAAGTAAACTACTGACCAGAATTAAAAATTTTATTACTATTAAATTATTTTTTCCTACTATTTAGTATGTTTACCTGCCTTTTTTGGATGTGAAAATTTCAGTTTGAAGGCAATGTTATTCTCACATTTTTCTCTTAGAGTACAAAATTTATATTTACCAGGGTTTTTTTTTATTTGTGATGAAGGATTCGGGGGTGGGGGGTGTGTTGTCAGAAGTCTGTTCTTCTTTTTTCATGTGATTTCATTTCATCAGGTATTCAAAGCTAGTATTTCTTGTTATTTCAGCAACAATAATATTGAAGTTCATTGTACTAGAGACAGTCAAGAGCTCTATTCTGAATGAAGAACACCTATATACACATATGCACTCTTTTACATACATGAAAGTTGTATCTGTGTAATCAATGTAATTTCAGGTAGTGTAAAAGATATTCAGAAATGTCACTATAGAGTCTTAGGTACTACAAATTCAGGCAAATTCATTTAAAGCATGGTGGCACCAGTTTGTACAAGGTTAGGAGCAGTTGTTTGATTTTTATCTGAAACATAGGAACTTACTTGTTTTGGAAGTAAAACAGGAGATAGTCAAAGGATGAATTTAGCTGTGAGGAACATTCTCACATTGCCAGTGAAGAGATAGGGTGTGGGATTTGAATATGCCAGAGTGCACGTCAAAAGTTTTTTGCTGACTTCAGGGCATACCACAAAAAAATAATAATAGGCAACTGCATCTTTAGGTATGTGTATGTACTGTTTTCCAATTCTCTGAGTTTACTTCTAGAATTATTACCAATATTACTTTCCAGCAGTAGGCTATTTTAACTGCAGTTATAGTCTGTATTTTTGTAAACTAATGTACTTGAGTGGTATGATAGGCCAGCTTGAAATATTACTGATTTAGGATTTTTGGCTAATCCTGTTTTACACTGGCACGTGAATTGCAGTGGATGTGATAGAGTGGTACTTGTTGGAGACACATTTTAAGGGAGACATATTACAGTTTTTTGGGATACCTTTACTCTCTGTATTTGGATTTTGATCCCTCTTGTATATGTTCAGGTTTAAAATATCTAAGGGTTGTTGCCCCTCCCCCCCTTCGTCCTGTATCCTTGAGATTTTTATAAGCCTGCATTTATTTTACCAACTGCTGAAACCCCTTATGTGTAGAGAAGTTTCCACTTTACAACTTTGACCCTTCCTCTTTTCCAATTGGACCTTGCCTTGACTTAAAAAAAAAAAAAAGAAAAAAAAGAAAAATTGTTTTAATGTATTTGTGACATGGCCTAGATTTCCTTTACAAGGTAAATGAAGTGCCATATGCTTAGAAAAAATTTACTGCTTTGATAAATATTTAAAAGTTTACATTTCCCACCTTATACAGCAACTTTGTGTATATTCATTATGATAGCTCCTAGAAATGATAGCTTTCTCAAATTAACTAATCTGATACAAAGTTGCATTTTTTTAGCATTTAAGATTTTTTTTTTTGTTTTAGAGTAAGTTGTGTTTTGGTTGGTCCTTTAATATAGATTTCCCCTTATTTTTTCAGATACTTAAAGCTTCAAAAGAAAAGTCCCTACATCAGGAGGACCAGCCCCAACCATACACTACAAAAGGGGAGCAGATGGCTGTAATAGATCTTATGATGTATTACCAAGCAGTTCAGGGTTTGGGGAACGAACACTAAGATATTGTAAATGGGTTGTAGCCAACTGTCATTTTAGTAAGCTTTTTTAACACTTGGATGTTTAGTTTACGTTCCTGTCTGATTTTTTTTTTTGGGGGGGGTGAAGTTTAGTGAATTCATTATTTTTCTTCTGTGTATGTGAC